TTACCATGCCTCTCCATAGGGTTCTGCTACAGTCTTCACCACCAGCTGCGCCTCTCTGCTAGCCATCCTGCTGGCCGCTCCTCTCCTCTAGCCGTGCCTGTCCACTATCCGCGCCTCTCCACCAGCCGTCCTGCTAGCCACTCACCAATATGTCTTCAGGCCCCCGCCCCACATAACACAGCTCTCAGTGATTTCAGCTCTTAGTAACTTCAGCTCTTTAGTGATTTCAGCTGTAATAGGGGAGCCTCAGTGCTGGTGCACTCAGAACCACTAGTCCAAAGTAGGTCTAATGCTTAGACCTAGGTATCAGTGATTTCAGCTCTGCAGCATGTAACAAGACTCCTAATGGAGTCAAAATTAGCTCTGTTATTACACAGTGGAGAGAGGAGGGGTCAAAGCGGTGTTTGGGGGCCCACAGTACACATACCTGTCCCCAGCCTCTCTCAATTCACTGGGCTTTGGAACCCATGTCCCTTGCCTAGCGAGTGCTACTTATGTTGAGGGCGAGTCCCTCCATCATAAAATGCAAAGTACAGTTCTACTGTCCTTGATTCACATAGCCAGGATAACAACACTTTATTACTCCTGCCCCAATAACAAAGAGACTGGAGATCCCACAGCAGCCAAAGTGACCATTTGGGCAAGCAGTCCATCATGCTAGGCAGGGTGGGTATGCCCATGCAAACGAGATCAGCCACTGAAGTCCTTTTCCACAGCTCACCACCAGATGTCAGGGTAGAGATCATTCTGATTCTGTTTACACCTGTAAAAAAAAAAAATGCGACACCGATGACATATGTGTTCCTTACTTAATCATAAGACTTCCTGGTAAATCAGTAACAGATTTGCTTTGGTCAGTGAAGAACTTTCTTCATCACCCTGCTTTGCAGCGCTCAACATTCACAATTTTCTTCCTGGAAGACAGAAAGAAAAAGAGAACAACAGAACTGTGAGTTTCAGTGTATTTGTTTTTCAATACATGGGAAACAGCTGCTGTAACTTGACATATTGCAAGTACGTTAACGTAATGCTTAAGAGGTGTTAGGTTTGGACAGTGTCCCTTTAAGAGGGAGCTGGGGATATTTACAAGAGGTGGTTTTTATCAGGTAAAATCATGGTTTTTACCATCCTCAGAAAAACTAGTTAATCCCAGTTTAAGACATTTTCTATTTTAAAAACTGTTTTATTAATCCCCGCTACATTACACTTAGTTTTAGTTACATATTTAAATTATTGTTACATAAGGCAGTAGATTTGTACATTAATTTGGGTTGTACAAATAAAAAGTAAAACTGAGGTGGGCATAATACTAATATATAATACTGAACATCAGAATGTCTGTCTACATTTTGGTTTGGTATTTTCTCAAGGAAGTTATACATGTCATGACATGTTTCAGTTTTCAATATAATATAAATAAAAGTTGAGACCATTTGATTATATGAAAACAACAAGGCAGAGTTGTAGGCTTGAAGCACTGAGCAATCAGAAACGTGCAGAGTTGCAGACTACTAGTCCAGGTCCATTTGGCCATGCAACATTCTGGGTGGAGGTGGGGGAAGACCAACTTGGATGTCGTGGATAGACTGAGCCTATTCCTCAGTTTTGAATGGATTGATCTAAAGTTTGAAGAGATTTGTTCTATGCTTGCTGAATTTACTGGACATTGATGCAATTATTTTTCCCAGCTTCTGGGTTTAAGTGAATATTTACCAGCGTGATGTCCTAAACCAGTTTTTCCTGAGAAATTGCCAACCCTGCAGTTGAGCTATAAGAGAAGGGAAGCCTGGGTGACTGAGGCCAGAGAATCAATCAGGAAAGGGGCAAAGAGAGCAGACGTGGGGCTCTCGCTGCCGGCTCCCAGGGAATAAGGAGACAGGTCAGAATCAGGAAGTTCGTGACTGCCAGAGTCCCCTAGGAAGGGGGCCTGCTGAGAGAGATCCAGTAAGTCAGAGCCCAGGAGCTGCAAGAAATCAGGACCAGCAGGAAGTCCCTTGGGGAGGGAGAGGCAGTGAGAACTAGAGGTCTAATTCTAATCCCTGAGCTGCACCCAAATCTAACCCAACTGGAGCACAGTTAACTTGTCCTGACCCAAGCGTGCTGAGTCACTTCAGACCCAACCCAAACCCAACACTTACCCCTGAACCTGTGTCAGTGCTGCTTCCTCATCCTTGGGGCTCAGCCTGTTGGGGGCTTCCCATGCTCCAAGCCCATGGACCGTCTCTGGCTGCCTCCTCCCCCGGGAGGTCAGCGCAGCGGCAGCTAATGACCTGTTCCTGCCGGCCACCCCACTGCGCCAGGTGTGCTGCAGAGTGAGAAGCGCTGTGACTCACTAGCACACTCACTCCGCAGTGCACACAGAGCGCCAAGGTAGTGGTGGCCGGCAGGAGCAGGACACACAGCTGCCCCTATGATGGCGCCAGAGCAGGAGGTGGTGATCAGAGCTGAGTCTGAGAGAGTTGCATTGTTGTCAGACCTGATCCAAACCCGACACTTGTAGTTGGGTCCCTTGGGTTGCAAGGTTCTAGTGGGAACCTGCTGGAGGAAAAGGGAACTCCAGGGAGAAAGCCCGGGATGCCGGGTCTTCAATGACCAGAGCACAGAACATTCCTGCAGGAAGCCCTGAAGAACGAAGGACTGAGGGGTAAAGAGGAAATCCCCTGGGAGCTGTACTCTAGGGTGGGCTGAGGAACTGGCTTTGTTAATTTTGCCTATCTCAGGAAGACAGAACTTCCTGGAAAGAGACTCTAGGTGTGTCCTTCGTGAGTGAGGAAGAAGAACAACTTGTTGTAGATAGGTTTTTGGACCAACATTTATTATATGTGTACAACTTTTATACGTGGAACTAACTGAACAGAAACCTTGTAACAATTACCCATTTTCTCTGTTTTAATGGGGATGCTATAAACCAGTGGTCCCAACCTTTTCCGTGGGGCGGGTGCCGGACGACTACCTGCCGAGGACTGTGGCCACCGGACAAGCAGCCGCCGAAATGCCACCGTGAAGCGGCAACATCAAGAGGCGTCGCCGACAAAATGCCGCCATGAAGCAGCGTCATCAAGAGGTGTCGCCGCCGAAATGCCGCCGAAATTCGGCAGCATTTCGGCAGTAGCGCTTCTTGACGTTGGCACTTCTCGGCGGCATTTTGGCGGCTGCTTTTTCGGCGGCCAGTAGGCGGGCACACATGGATGCCCCGGCGGGCGCCATGGCGCCCACGGGCACCGCGTTGGGGACCCCTGCTATAAACCATTTAGATAATATTACTCACCACTGCTGTTTCTATGCTGCAGTCAGAGACAGTGGCACTTCGTTAAGAGACATACCAACTACAGATGCAGGCACTGAAGTTGGATTTTGCCCCATTTAACCAACACATTAGGCATGACTTAAACTTGAGGTGCTTTATCAGCCACTGTCTGGTATGTTTTCAGGGAATTATAAATCCCCCTTTGCAAGAAGAAAAGATCTTTTAAATTGATCACTGATGTAAGAATTACCAAAGCCCAGGAGGAATTTCCTGCAGCTGTAAAAGACTGGCTAGCAAACTGGTCATTTAGCTAGCAAAAAAGACTGGCTAGCAAAAAAGTCAATAGGAAAACTCCCATTAACTTTGTGAGCAAGACTACACCTTTTAAGGTCTTGTCTGCTCAGCATGAACACTAATGATCATTTGGTACATTTCATAAGAGATTGGCAGGGGTTGCCCAACTGTCCTCGGCTAACATTTCAGCATGGGCGGTGAGTTCTACGGGCCTGGCTCCAGCACTGTGTGAGGCCAGGTCTCTCCCTCGGCCCCGTCTTCCGCCCCTGGGCGTCCCCCCTGCGCGTCACCTGGGCCATTTAAAACAGCCCGGGGCCCCCACTCACCACCAGCAGCGCAGCAGAGCTGAGCGGTGTCTGGCCTGCTTGCTCTACGTGGCTGCCAGCCCCTCCCTGTGGCCAATGGGAAGCTGCAGGGGCAGTGCCTGGGGGTAGCAGCACATGGAGACTCCCGGCCAGCCCTGCCTAGGAGCCACAGGTAAGCGCCGCACCTCCCACCCCTTCCCAGAGCCTGCACCCCCTTCCGGCCACCAAACTCCCTCCCAGAGCCTGCACCCCCAGCCCAGAGCCAGCACCCAAACTCTGTCCCAAAGCCTGCACCCCCATGCCCTTCCCACACACCCTCTCCTGCCTCCGCACTCCCTCCCAGAGCTTGCACCCAAACTCCATCCCAGAGCCTGCACCCCTCACCCCCTCCTGCACCCCCACTCCCTGCTGCAGCCCAGAGCCTACACCCAGCACCCAAACTCCATCCCAGAATCTGCACCCCAGACCCTCTCCCCCACCCAAACTCCCTCCCAGAACCCAACCTCTCACCCATCCTGCACCCCAATCCCCTGCCCCAGCACAGGGCCTGCACCCCAGACCCCCCCACCCAAACTTCCTCCCAGAGCCTTAGGCAGGTGGGGGGCAGAGTTGGGGGGGTGGAGTTTGGGGGGAGGCGGGTTCTGGGCACCACCAAAATTTCTACAAACCTGCCGCCCCTACATTTAAGTGCTACGGTTGCATACAGAGAGTTTATGAAGCACTTTGGAATCTACAACGTCATTACTGAGGGAAAACTCGCACTGAAGTTAAAGGGAGTTTTGCCTCAGTAAATACTTACAATATTTGACTTACTATTAACAGGAAGGGAGTTAGAAATAGATATAGTCCTACCAATTACAATATTACGAAGTTTTAGACTAGCAACTATTCCTGAATAATGTGAGTGAGACTTTATATAGAATGACTTGAACTGATTATAGTAATTTATATTTAATGATAAAAATAGAATCCTAAGGGGAAAAGGCTCACAAAAATGGAAATAACAGTTATTTAGATGGTTCAGAACCTCAGAGTTTGGTTAAAATGACTAACAAAGATTCAGAAACAGAGAGCTTTTTGGCTCTGATCTGGAATAGATCCTTTGATACTACCACTACAGGTACTAAATAACTACTGAGGCAATATCTCCACAGAAAGATGGAGGGGGAATACACAAGCAATGAACTACCAAAAGTCTGGAAGACAGAATTTACAAAACTGCGTCCAATCATACCTGTTGTAAGTACCTGTTGAACAGTCTTTGTCTATTATCATGCCTTCTAAATAAAACCTCCATGCAAGCAGAGGGAAGCCAAGATGATGGATCTAGCTAGTGGAAGCATGGAGAGACTGGGAAACATTTTCATGATATGCTCCACCATTTCACTCCAACCCTGAGGAAGTCTCTCTGTGGGGCACACTGGTATCCAGATCTGTGTGCAGAGAACAGGTTTGGATTTTCCCCTCTCCCCAGACCTTAGGGGACAAAGTCTACAGCAACATGCATGGACAGTATGGAACCCCACCACCAAAGCTAGGTGGCAGCTACAGTCAGGGGAGCTGCTGACATCATGGCTCCATTAGGAGCCACTCCATCCAGAAGTTGCAGGGAATTAGGGGCAGGAAAGAGCTGAGCAGCACTGGGATTGTGAGAGGCCTTGGATGGATTCCCAAGACTATCGTGGATCTTGTGGGTTCACAGGGCTAGGCAGTGGCACATTGGCTTTTTCACAGGTGGAGGGGAAAGGGAAGGGGCATATTGCCCCACTTAATGGCAGAAATTATTTGGGTGGAAATTTGCAGTTTCCATTCTCCTATATAGGAGCAATCCACCTAGGGGAGAATGAGGCCCCCAAAGCAGCAGATTATATTTTTGTATTTGTTTATATTTGCAAATGCTAGTCAGCACTGTATTACCAATTGGGCTCATCAGTATAATAATTTGTACAGTTTAATAAAATATTAAGGAACTACATAATAATTAGGGCTGTCGATTAATCGCAGTTAACTCATGCAATTAACTCAAAAAAATTAATGGTTATTAAAAAATTAATCGTGATTAATTGCACTGTTAAACAATATAATACAAATTGAAATTTATTAAATATTTTTGGATGTTTTTCTTCATTTTCAAATATATCGATTTCAATTACAACACAGAATACACAGTGTAAAATGCTCACTTTATATTGTTTTTTATTACAAATATTTGCAATGTAAAAATGATAAAAGTACTGTAGTGCAATCTCTTTATCATGAAAGTGCAACTTACAAATGTAGGGTTTTTTGTTACATAACTGCACTCAAACAAAACAATGTAAAATTTTAGAGCCTACAAGTCCACTCAGTCCTACTTCTTGTTCAGCCAATCGCTCAGACACACAAGTTTTTTTACATTTACAAGAGATACTGCTGCCCACTTCTTAATTACAGTATCACCTGAAAGTGAGAACAGGCGTTTGCATGGCAATGTTGTAGCTGGCGTCGCAAGATATTTACGTGCCAGATGCGCTAAAGATTCATATGCCTCTTCATGCTTTGGCCATCATCCAGAGGACATGCTTCCATGCTGATGACGCTCGTTAAAAAAATAATACGTTAATTAAATTAATGACTGAACTCCTTGGGGGGAGAATTGTATGTCTCCTGCTCTGTTTTACCCGCATTCTGCCATATATTTCATGTTATTGCAGTCTCGAATGATGACGCAGCACATGTTGTTCATTTTAAGAACACTTTCACTGCAAATTTGACAAAATGCAAAGAAGGTACCAATGTGAAATTTCTAAAGATAGCTACAGCACTCGACCCATAATTTAAGAATCTGAAGTGTTTTACAAAATCTGAGAGGGATGAGGTGTGGCGCATGCTTTCAGAAGTCTTAAAAGAGCAACACTCTGATGCAGAAACTACAGAACCCAAACCACCAAATAAGAAAATCAACCTTTTGCCTGTGGCATCTGACTCAGATGACGAAAATGAACATGCGTCGGTCTGCACTGCTTTGGATCGTTATCGAGCAGAACCCGTCATCAGCATGGATGCATGTCCTCTGGAATAGTGGCTGAAGCATCAAGGATATATGAATCTTAGCGCATCTGGCATGTAAATATCTTGCGACACTGGCTACAACATTGCCATGCAAACGCCTGTTCTCACTTTCAGGTGATACTGTAATTAAGAAGTGGGCAGCAGTATCTCTTGTAAATGTAAAAAAACTTGTGTGTCTGAGCGATCGGCTGAACAAGAAGTAGGACTGAGTGGACTTGTAGGCTCTAAAATTTTACATGTCATGCAAATGCCTGTTCTCACTTTCAAGTGTCATTGTAAACAAGAAGCGGGCAGCATTATCTTCTGTAAAAGTAAACAAACTTGTTTGTCTGAGTGATTGGCTGAACAAAGACTTGTAGGCTCTAAAGTTTTACATTGTTTTATTTTTTAATACAGGTTTTTATTGTACATAATTCTACATTTGTAAGTTCAACTTTCATGATAAAGAGATTGCACTACAGTACTTGTATTAGGTGAATTGAAAAATACTATTTCTTTTGTTTTTTACAGTGCAAATATTTGTAATAAAAAATAAATATAAAATGAACACTGTACAGTTTATATTCTGTGTTGTAATTGAAATCAATATTTGAAATCGTAGAAAACATCCAAAAATATTTCAATAAATGGTATTCTATTATTGTTTAACAGTGCAATTAATCGAGATTACTTTTTTTAATTGCGTGATTAATTGCAATTATTTTTTTTAATCGCTTGACAGCCCTAATAATAATTAAAGATTACCTTGTAAGTCCACGTACTGACTACAAGAATAGTTAACCCATAATCTGAATTTTTAAAAATATGGTTAGAATGTACTTGTCTGAACAGCCATAGAAACAAAATGATTGCATACAAAATCAGAATCTGTTTTAGATGTGTGTGTTTAGTATTTGCCACATAATAATCTGAGTCAGATACCAGTCCAGAGCTCTATCCAGCCAGAAATATACGCAGGGAAACAGATTCACCCCGGTGTAATTCCACTGGCTCACATTCCACCCTCAATTATCTCCATGCAATCCTATCAATTTCTTTGGGATTGCAAAGCTATAGCTGAATTTGGGCCAGTCCATATACACAATCAGACAAATTTTGGCCTCCGATATGCTCATGCAATTTCCATTAAGTTCAATAGGAGTTGCTTGCTCCCAGACATTTGAGGCAGGATTTGAGCTCAATTCTAATCCCATTTAAATCAAGGAGAGTTTTGCGCTGAATTTACTGGAATCACAATGAAGCCCTTGGCCCTTATCCTATAACTTATGGCTGAAAAATTCAGTTGTTGTTTTTTTTTTTTTTTTTTAAGTAAAGATGGTTGTGAAGCATCTCCTATTTAATGGCTTTAGCTTCCAATCCCAGTTCCACAACTGACAAATATAGTATTTCTCTTCTAGGTTTTTCAAGTTGCAGCTGCAATTGCAATGTTTATACTTGGGTGTTTTGGTGAAGCAGGAATTGGAGCACCATGGTGGTGCGCAATTATGGTAAAACAACAATAACATTACATAAAAACTAAGAATCCTTAATTGTTTGTTTTATTATATAGCAATGAAAGAAATTAGCTCAGAAGGACCACATCCTCAGCTAGTGTAAATCAACTGAAGCTAATGAAGCTACCTGATTTAGTAGCTGAGAATCTGGCTCCAAAATGGATAGCAATAAAAGTAATCTTTGCACATTTTCTGTTGTCTTGTTTTTCACAGTTCCTTATATCTGGATTGTCCCTACTTATACTGGTGAAAAAACACTCAGTTCCTTGGGTGAGTGTAATGATCACAGTACCAGAGGAATCCAGGGCTTTTTCAGCAAAGGAGAAAAAGAAAACCTGAAAAAAAAGAATGTGAAATTTTAAATAGAAGTTTTGGGGAGGGAGTCTCTCTTCACATCTATGTATTTCTGAATGGCGCTTCAGTGTGATGAAATAAAAACAATGTATTTAAATATTTATAAGACATCTATGAACAAACCCAGTAGAAAACTATTCAAATCAAATTGAAGAAACAACTAGTCTAAGGCCCCATCCTGCATAGACTTACGCATATACTTAATTTTACATACTGAGTACTCACAGGGTACAAAGTTAAGCAAGTGCCATGGCCTTTGCAGGATCATTGCCTATACTTACAACCTATCAGAATCCAAGGATGTTGCACAAGGACAAATTCTATGGCTCTCAAGTAAAACACTTTACTGATGACAAAGATCAGTTCTTAGAAATCACAAAGAAGCCAGATCAATTACAAAAAACAAAGAAACAGAGGAGGGGATCCAAAAGCATGTCAAGGAAAACTCCTCCAAAATCAATGGACACTACAGGCAGCCAGTCATGGTTTCTGTGAACCTTCTTTGGAATAGAGGTAGTACAACCAAGGACCCGTGATAAAAAAAGAAAAAAAGTGTTCATTGTCTGGTCCAGACTGAACCTAGGACTTGATCTAGAGTCCACTGAAGTCAATACTGAAAGAGGACTTTAGATCAGACATTAAGGACATACTTAGCCCAGCTGAGTATAGGCAAATGTGAGGTACCAGCTGAAGTTCATAAAACATTTTATAATCTTAGAATTTCAGACCATTATTAACACTGCTTTCCAATCAGTTTGTTCAACAGTTTGAATAAATGGCTACACAAATACCTGTCATTAATTAAAGGAATAAACGCTACTTGGTTCTATTTCTGACGCTCCCTGAGGCATATCACTTAATTGTTCTATCCCTCAATTTATCCATCAGTAAAATGGATATAATAATATTTGCCTCACCGGGCATTATGTGGCTTAGTTAATTAATGCTGATAATGCATGTTGAGATCCTCTAATGAAAAACACTAAATAAATGCATTAAAATAGTCACTAACATTTCATTAATATACAATATGTTTCTGTCTATAGGAAAAATGCGCCTTTGTCACTATAATATTGAGCATAACAACAGCAGTGGCTGGAACAATTTATTATTCTCTGGAGTTTGCTTTGATTAGATCGCCTCAGAGCCCCTTTCCTCATGACACCAGTGATGTAAGTTCCTTCTATTTTACTTTAATATTTTATTAACTGTATTTTTCCTTTCACATTTTATTAAACATCTTTGCTTAAGTAAAAATATTTGTTTACAAAGCACTGAGATTAAATAATGCCTATGGAGTTATTCACGTATTTAAAGTTAAGCATGTGCTTAAATGCTTTACTGGTTTGGACGGAGCGTTCAGCACCTTGCAAGACTGAATCTTTGATCTCTGACATGGGGGGGGGGGAGGAGAGAAGGATGCTAATTAATTGATAGGTCTGGTGAGGCACACACCTGCTCACTAGGAACTGACGTGAAATTAACAATTCATTTCACCCAGGCCACCAGAAAATTTTAAATTATTTCCATGGCAAGCATTGACCCACTACCATTTTGCCTACATGTTATGTTATCCCCAGGGGTGTCATAATTCTACCATCCTGTGTGATTTAGATGAATGTTATTAGTCTAACCTGGCCCTGTAGAGGATAGTGCTTTCAGCATTTATCTGTCATCCTCAAAGCATTCTCGGTCTCTGTCCGTTTTGGAGAAACATCAGTATATGATTCTGTAGGGCTGTCAAGGCTGCTTCCCCACTCTGAACTTTAGGGTACAAATGTGGGGCCCTGCATGAAAACTTCTAAGCTTAACTACCAGCTTAGATCTGGTCCGCTGCTACCATTCCCAAAGCTAATTCCCTTCCCTGGGAAGCCTTGAGAAACTTTTCACCAATTCCCTGGTTAATACAGATCCAAACCCCTTGGATCTTAAAACAAGGAGAAATTAACCATCCCCCCTCCTTCCTCCCACCAACTCCTGGTGGATCAAGATCCAACCCCCTTGGATCTGAAAACAAGGAAAAATCAATCAGGTTCTTAAAAAGAAGGCTTTTAATTAAAGAAAAAGGTAAAAATCATCTCTGTAAAATCAGGATGGAAAATAACTTTACAGGGTAATCAAACTTAAAGAGCTCAGAGGACCCGCCTCTAGCCTTAGGTTCAAAGTACAGCAAACAGAGATAAACACGCTAGTAAAAGGTACATTTACAAGTTGAGAAAACAAAGATAAACTAACACTCCTTGCCTGGCTGTTTACTTACAAGTTTGAAATATGAGAGACTTGTTCAGAAAGATGTGGAGAACCTGGATTGATGTCTGGTCCCTCTCAGTCCCAAGAGCGAACAACCCCCAAAACAAAGAGCACAAACAAAAACCTTCCCCCCCCCCAAGATTTGAAAGTATCTTGTCCCCTTATTGGTCCTTTGGGTCAGGTGTCAGCCAGGTTACCTGAGCTTCTTAACCCGTTACAGGTAAAAGGATTTTGGAGTCTCTGGCCAGAAGGGATTTTATAGTACTGTACACAGGAGAGCTGTTACCCTTCCCTTTATAGTTATGACAAGGGCCCTGTTGCCAATTAGCGTATACAATGAAACAAGGATAAAGAGATGCATTAAAAATCATTTTCTATTTTGGTTCTAGCCTGAAAGATTGGCACTAGCCTACAGAGTGGACTCAGCAGAACTTGGATTAGCAGCCTTTGAGGTAGGAGTCTCTGTCTGGATTTTGTGCCTGCTGCAGCGAGCAAGGAAGACATTAAGGCAGTAGCTCTCATTGTCAAAAATATCATCTTTTTCAACAGGCTGCTGCCATTGATTTTGTTTTATGGGGATTGTTCAATTTGTTTTATGGGGATTGTGTGCCGGTGTCAGCACTATTTAGCACGTAAGGGCCATAGTCAAAACTCATATTTAAATACATGTATGTTGGTACATGCCACATATATTTAGCTTGATCTTACTTCCACTGAAGTCAATGACAGAACTCCCATTGACTTTAATGGGAGCAGGAATGGGACCCTTTACCATGGTCTCTCTTCTGTCCTCACTTATACCCATGCATGTCTCTTGATATTGTAAAGTACGGAGTGCAGAATCTGACCCTACATATTTTAGGCCAGATCCTCAATTGAAGTCAATGGAGCTATGACAATTTATACCAACTGAGGAGCTGGCCCTTATATATATAAAGACACTTAAAATTAGCAAAATGTTGGTACCTTTTCCTAAGGGTGAAATTCATCAAAATGAATAGGACCTGCACAAAGCCCAAACCACCACTTGAGTCCCATTCAATCCCAGCACTAAACAAGGCAGCAAAACTAATGCAAATAGCAGATCTCCATCTGGTGAGCATCAGCGTAGCTACTACGTCTCTTTTAGCTATTATCATTAATCAGCTGCTTATCCACGACACCTGATTCTGTGTACAAATAAATATAATGAAAAGTTGATATTGTCTCTAGTCTAAATTCTTCGAGATATCTTTACTGTAATTGCCCCACCTCAGAACGTTTGTCCTACTTATACTGGTGCCTTCATCTAATTGACCGCAGTGGGCTGGTGCACTCTGTGACTGAAAGAGAAGGGATGGAACATACTTACTAACCACTCAGTCAAGTCCCTCAGTTTAGGCCTATTAAATGCGTGTGAATAAAACTCACAAGAGACCTCTCCCCTGAGCTGACAAACTATATACCTCAGGGCACTTGAAAGGTTTTCCCACCCCTCACCTGTCCATCCAATGCTTGTGGTCTATCCTGGAATCAGTTTATGCAGATCTGAAGTTGGGTTCTCAAGAACTATTTCTGCAAGATCATGAGTCCAGGTGTTGGCTTTGCAGTAGAATGGTCATTGTAGTCTTTTCATTGCTAACAAACCTAAAAATTCTATAATTCTCCAAGTTAAGCATGATTATGGAAATTATGCCTCCAGAGGCAGGATATGCAACAAGCTAGATTATTTTGTTAAAAGTTAAATTTGCCTCTAAATCCTTTCAATATACCATGGCAGAAGTAACTGGATAATAAATGAATACCCACCGCCCAGAGCTACAATGGTGATCATTCACTGGATGCATGTGGAAAAACAGAGCACATGATCTTTGGCACCAAAGACTTCAGACTTTGCCCAAGAGAGCCTAAAATAATGTGGAATGAAATGTACACTCCCTTTTCAGGAATGTTTACATTAATGAAGTTGTTACCATGCCTGATAGGACAAGCAGCACTTCCTTTATCAAGTGCAGTGACTGAGGCCTGGTCTACACTGTAAATTTATATCAGTATAATTACATGGCTCAGGTGTGAAAAATCCACACTCCCAGGCGATGCAGTTATACTGACCTAACCCCCAATCTAGACAGCGCTACATTGACGGGAGGGCTTCTCCCATCAACACCTCTCGTGGAGGTGGATTAATTACACTGATGGGAAAAGCTCTCCCATCAGTGTAGTAGTGTCTTCACTGAAACACTACAGCAGCACAAGTCAAGTAGTGTCAAGGTCAAGATCACATACAGTGGAAAACTGATCTAAGAAACAAATATTTGCCTATATATGTTTTCTCAGAAGCGTGTTATTCTTATATAAATTTGGCACTGTGTGGTGTTTTACTAACTATTATCAATGAACAGCTCCCCTCACCTAGTGCACCTATTTAACACCATCTTAAATTATTAAAACTGCAATTACTTTAAAATGCTACCTCATCTTTCTCTACTTACATTTGTTTAGTTTTTGCATTTCACTGATTTACAATCACTCCCCCAAATCCAAGAACTTTGGGGTGTGGGAACAGTTGTGATCTAGATCCAACCTTCATGGCTCCAGCCTATATCTTATCCTCAGTATGATGCGATGGACAGGCCGTGGCTGGGGCTTGGAATCAGGAAGCCTAGGGGCAGATTCATCCCTGCACTGGTGTCGACACTGGTACAGGGAGAGAAGAGAGGTGGTTATTCAAAAGCTATGGGAGAGCGGGGGGGCGGATTTCAAGCCTCAGCACACACTCAGGGCCTTTCAGGAATGAAAAAGTAATGGGATGCAGGCCTGCCCTAGCCTGTGGCCGTGCCCTCTCCTGCCACCAACATGTCCCCTTGCCTCCAGCATCCCAGCTGCACTCAGAATGCTGCAGAGGTGGCAAAGTTCTGTGCCAGGGCTTAGCCTGAGCCTCCTCCATTTGGGCCCCTGCTTTCTATTCTTGGCTTCACCACGGACCTGCTTCTGACCTGGGGCAAGTCACTTCACTGCTCTTTGCTTCAGTTTCCTCCTATGTCAAATGAGGATAATGATCCTTGTGCCCCTCTGTAAGATGCCAGGAGACAGTGGATGAAAAGTGCTATATAAGAGCTAAGTGTTATTAGTTATTATGAACTCTGCTGGGGTCGCGCGCCTTTGTGGCTTTTAAAATATAAAGCAGACCAAAGAATATAAAAGAAAATGAGAGGAGCGCAGGCACTATGAGCAGGTAACCATTATCTCAAACCTGATCCTAAGGGGACAGGGGGAGGGGAGGGCTCCTGACAGGTCTTGGAACAATTTGTATAGTGGGGCTGCTGAGAGCCATTGAACCCTGTATATGATGGAAACAACTTCAAGCCAGGGGGTGCAGCAGCAGCACCCCTAGTTCCAGCACCTATGGCTCCTGATTTGCTGGGGTGCACCTGCACAGCTGGGATTGCAGGGGCAGGGCCTCAGACTGGGCTGCGTGGCTTTTTCTGTAGGGTCAGTTCCCCCTTCTTGGTGCTCCTACACTAGCTCATTGCTTTGATGCTTACTAATGCAGAAGGAATAGTTCGACTCCCCTTCACCTCAGGCAGCTTTCACCATTTCCCCCCCTGAAAACCCTTTAAGCCGGTGGCCCCTTGGCAAGGGGCTGAGCTTAGCAGGGCCGCTCTATGCCCCGCGGAGGGCTGGGAGCCCCTCTGCCTTCGCGAGCGCTGGAGAAGGAGGGGGCGCTGCCTGGGATTAGCCAGGCCCAGCCGCCCAGAGGAAGTCCCTGCTTTGCCTGCAGCGGGTGCAGGGATGGGAAGTCAAGTGAAAGTGAAATCAGTCAGGGGGGGAGGGGAGGCGCTGGTCGGTGCAGGAGCTGCAGCTGCTCGGCTCTGTGCCTCCCCTTCCCGCTGGCCGCCCGAGCCCGGGGCCCCCATGTCCCACAGGCGGGGAGCGCGGGAGAAGGCGGAGGCCGCCCCCGCCGAGAGGCGCAGCCACAAGCGGCCCAGGAGCCAGCGCGAGCCCCTGGCAGGCAGCAGCGGGGGCTGCAGGGAGCTGGAGCGGCATGAGCAGAAGAGGAAGAAGCGGGAGGTGCAGCAGATCCAGCAAATCCAGCACCTGGAGTCCTTGTAAGGGGTTCGGAGGGGGGGGGGAGCAGACGGAGAGTCCCTGGGACAAGCCCCTCTGTGGCTGGGGAGCTGCCCGCCAGTGCCCCCACCCGTTGCTGAGCCGTCATTGCAGAGATGGGCCTGTCCAGCGGGCAGCTCTGTTTTACGGCTAGCCCCTGCTTCTGTGACAGGCTGAACCCAAACCCCGCACTCTCGCTAGCCCACCCCCCTGGTATCTGAGCGTCTCCCCTGTGCGTTTGCAAATGGATCATAACACTCTGCTGAACTGGGTCCCCGGAAGGGCGCTGGAAATCCGGATTAAAACTTAGGGGCGGCATTTGTTGTTAGCTGATGTATTTGACCTTTATAGATAATTAAAATACACTCATGATTTTATTTTATAAATGAAAATTACAAAGGGGGTGGAAGCGCCAGAGTTATGGGAATGGGATCATTTTATTATGTCACCTGCTACTGGCTCCCTTCTAATTCTGGCTAATCATTGCCAATGTGGTGCTTCAAAAGTTTGATCTGGGTTTTCTTTAGAGGCAATGGGCCATGCTCTACTGCTGCATGGAAATAGGGCGTCTAAACATGTGCATGCACATGTTGCAAAAGCAATGTTCATTTTCTCCCAAATCCTGTCTGGAAGTAACCCCATGCGCAGGGGCAGACCCTGTACTGGTTACCTTTGTTCCTGACAGGAATAATCAGTGTATGAAGCCAGAGCAGGAGTTTTATTTACAAAATCCAGTAGGACCTATCCCAGAAAATGCTTCTCATATGTCCCTCTTTTTGAGGAATGTCACTCAGCGTAGTTCCAAAGTTACCTAAGTTCTCCCCAAAATCGGTGTCCCTTCACTTTTATCATTGAAAGTTATACTGTATACATTAGAAATGCAGAATCATTAAACTGATGCTATAGAGATCTCTACACTGAGGAATCAGTCCCATCGCTTTTTAACTTCATTGTATGAATAATATTTTGATGGCCTCAATTTGGGCCACTGTCACACTTTGTGTCTTACATTTGGGCCTTTGCAGAGTGAGAGGTATACCACTGGCTATTGTTGGCTGTAGTGCAGCCTCTCTGGTCTCTTTAGGGTCAGGGAACTTGAAGCAGAGGGGAAAACATGTAGCTAGTGTTTCACCTGCTGTGCACAAGTCTTCTGGTGGGCACCTGTGTGCAGTGACCTTCCAATGTGGCCCATTTTGCATAGAAATAGGTCCAGGATTTGTTATTGTTGCTATGCCCACCAATTTCTCTGAACATTTACAGAAGGCAGCCAGTCTGTCCATTCTCTATATACCTGTCCAAGTGAAGATAAGTAAAAAAAATTTCTGTCACCCAGTGCCTTTTAACAGGGCCGGCTCCAGGGTTTTGGCCGCCCCAAGCAGCCAAACAAACAAACAAACAAAACGAGCAGGAGTGAGGGACCATCTGCCGAACAGCTGGACGTGCCGCCCCTCTCCGAAGTGGCCGCCCCAAGCAGGGCCGGCTCTGGCTTTTTGGCCGCCCCAAGCAAAAAAAAAAAAACAAAACACCTGCGGCGCGGCCAGAGCCAGGGTGCAGTGGGAGGGAGAGAGAGAAGGGCGGCCAGGGCTTGCTGCCACGCGGCCCCTCCCGCCGCCTGCCGGGAGGGCTCTGCGCCGCTCCGGTCAGCTGGGAGAGAAGGACGCGGGCTGCCCTGCCGGGTTTACTGCAGGGCACTTGTGGCCGGAGCGTAACAACACAAAAAAAAAGAAGAAAAACGTGGCCGTGCCACCCTAGGATTGGGCGGAATGCTGCCTCCTACACAGGGCCGGCTCTACGATTTTTGCCGCTCAAAGCAAAAACAATTTTGGCCGCCCCCGCCCCCCGTTTTTTAATTACTCCACCCCCCGCCCCGCCTCAACTCCTCCCCTTCCCCAAATCCCCAGCCCTGCCTCCTCCCCCCAGGCTCTCAAGCCTAGGAGGGAGGGGGAGAAGCGGTACCCACGCTGCGGCCACTCGGAGTCTCCCCCTCCCTCCCAGGCTCTCAAGCCTGGGAGGGAGGGGGAGCAGCGGCGCGCGAAACACCTGTTTCGCGCCCCGCGGCCGCTCGGGATCTCCCCCTCCCTCCCTCCCAGGTTTGAGAGCCTGGGAGGGAGGGCGATTAGCGGCGTGCGAGCGGCAGCAGCAGCGGAGGTGAGCTAGGGCGGCCAGGGCACATTTTAGGGACGGCATTCTGGTGCCGGCCATGCCGCCCCTAAAAATGTGCCGCCCCAAGCACCAGCTTGTTTTGCTGGTGCCTAGAGCCGGCCCTGATCCTACAAGCTGCCGCCCCAAGCACCAGCTTGCTCAGCTGGTGCCTGGAACCGGCCCTGCCTTTTAAAAAAGTGTCCTTCCCCCAACTCCTTCCCTGATTTTGTATCTGTCCTGTTTGTTTTTTAAGTAACATTTCGAAGAAAGCGTGGGACCTGTAGTTTGGCAGCAAAGCATGATCAGCAGGATCCCTTTGGAGTGAATGAAAAAATGTTCAATGTAAAAGGCTTAAGATGTGCTGAATGATTCCTCTGATGCTGTAAAATATGTGTGTGCCTTAATTTATGAAAAGGGGGTTGAAACGGGTGGAAATACCATGGGCTGCAACCATAATTTGATGCTAATTCCTTCACGGTGGGAGTAGGGATTTCTTGTTGTGAATTACTCCAGACAGTGCTCTAAGTGTTGCTATTGTTAAGGAGATGATCAAATGATACCTTGGCATGGAACACCCGTGTGTACATTGTCTCCATTGGTGTCTTCCAAGTCAGATCTGCCCACTGTATGGACAAAAACAAGTCTCTCTTTCTATTGTCAACGCTGCTGATCCAGCATGGCTGCAGAACAGCCTCCTGAGTCATCAACAAAACTATCATTGATGCTGTCTTCAGATTAGTCATTGGTGATGTTGAATGTACTAGAGAGACAGTTTGATTATCCTGTACTAGGTTGAGCTTGTAGTGCTGGCAGTAAGAAAATTCTTGCTTTGACATTGTCAGTTGAGCATACACCTCTACCCCGATATAACGCGACCCGATATAACACGAATTCAGATATAACGCGGTAAAGCAGCGCTCCGAGGGGGAAGGGGCTGCGCGCTCCAGAGGATCAAAGCAAGTTCAATATAACGCGGTTTCACCTATAACGCGGTAAGATTTTTTGGCTCCCAAGGAGAGTGTTATATCGGGGTAGAGGTGTATTTATGACTCAGTGTTGGAAAAAATAAATATGGAGTAGCAAGATGTCATTTTCCTTACCATAGCTAGACTTTCAAGATGAAAGAGTTGTGAATTTCTGGCAGCTAGGGCTCAGTTGGATGCACGAAACATCACTATAAAGCAGCATAATGAAGTTGTCATTTCCAAGCAAACACAAAACCAAAGCATGTTTGCAGATTAGAGTGGATTGTGTTATTTGCAGAAGACATTTTTTTTTTTGGCTGTTTAGAAACACCACAAGCATCACTTCACTCTGTTTGCATCCGTGTGTTGCACTGTGGTTGCTACACTTCTTAAGGAGTGTAATTAAATAAAGCTTTAGGCTAAGTACGTTCAATGTTATAAAATTAAAAATTTCATATAATTTAAACGGCTTTGTTTTGTCCATGTATATAAGTCTGATGCTACGTTGTAGAAAATAATGTTAATACAACTATATTTTTATTGTTTTCCAGCTATGAGAAACCTCCTCCAGGGCTAATTAAGGTTAGTAAAGTGTAATAAATGTTTTGTATTTAAAAGAAACTGTAAACACTGGTTGGAATCCTGGGTTCATTAAAGTCAATAGGAGTTTTTCCATTGGCTTTGGGGGGGATCAGATCCACCTTGTATGATTCCCTCTCTCCTTGCCATTAACATCACATTAAATTAGCATGTGATCTTTTGTGAAATTCCTCTTACCAGATTCAAAGAGTCATAATTTAGTGTTTGCAACTTAAACAAAAACTGCCGCATATAAAGGCTATTGTAATCACTATATTCAATTACAGAGAAGAGAAAAATCAATAAAAGTTGAAAAGTATTTAATTCTTTTAATTTAATTAAGTGTTGGACTAAATGGAACAGGAGGATAGCAATTCAGGCTTGAAGGGAAAAGTTAAGGGTAGCAAAAAAAGTTAATGCTACTAAAAAAGGGTATAACTTTATGGGTATAAAGGAGGAAAGGAATATCAGGGAGAAAGTAGGTCCATTAGTAAATGATGATATATACTTATACACTTGGGTTATTTGTTTTAAAATAAGCTAGATGAAATAGGGGTTTTGTTTTGCTTACCATTTCTATAGGAAGATGAAACTAAGCCTGAAGACTGCATACCTGATGTACCAGGCAATGAACATGCCCGAGAATTCCTGGCTCATGCCCCAACTAAAGGACTCTGGATGCCATTAGGAAAAGAAGTCAAAGTTATGCAGTGTAAGTGCAAGAAGCGTCCAAATTTCACTTTTTTTTTTCTTTTATAAATCTTTTGACTTTAAACAAAAAAATCTTGGCGATAAGTGACTATGCGGTATAAAAGATGAATTCCAGATATATTGACTTCATATTGATATAATAGCAGCCAGTATCTTGAAGGCTTTTGTAGATTTGCAGACTGAATTTAATGGTTTGTTTCTCTTTGCTGTGCTTCAGCTACGTAAAGATGTTTTCCATTAATGTTTGTAATTGGTTGTGAGCTGACTCAAAGATTCAGTTTGCTTCTGTTTTACTAAAGGTTGGAGATGTAAACGTTATGGACACAGAACAGGAGATAAAGAATGCCCATTCTTTATTAAAGGCAATCAGAAATTGGAACAGTTCAGAGTAGTAAGTAAAAATATTGTAGTATTGGTTGTATTTTTCATTAATAATGATGATGGCTAATCTTGCAAGTGAAAAGAAGTCTATTAGGTTATGGTCTATAAAGGATTTTCCGCTGTGTCTAGTATCATATTGATGTTGAAACCTGACCATAGTCCTCTTATTAGAGAAAAATGTCTCTCTTCATACACAGATGTGATTGAATGTATTATTAATTTGCAGAAAACCCACTCTTTAAATGGAAGATAATAATTTGCATATAAATTATAAATCTTTAATCTTTTCAACATCAGTTATTTATGATTAAATATCAATGTACTAAAAACTCTGTGAACAAATAATCAGTGGTGAGTTGCCCAGATTTGCCATCAAGAGATTTGGATTACCTCGCATCAAATGAGTTTGTAGGCCAAGCTATGAGGAGCCACAAGAAAGTTAGGAAGATGTTCAAAGAGTGAATGATGCAGAAATTTTAGAAGTACCTTATCTGTAAAACTCCCATGTGATTTGTCTTACATTTCACAGAAAAATTCTATCCTGGGGATGAGATAGCGTATGTAAAATTTCAGGGGGATTGTTTAGGTAGAATTAGTAAGGGGAGGGGTTGGGAATCAAACTTAAAATAGGAAACTAGCTTCTTCCTTAACTATGGACGGACAAAATGCCTTCCATATATGGGATTTGAGTGTTGGTGCTCAGTAGGTATTCTTCTTTATGCTAATGTACAGGTGTCTCTGCAATACAGCTTGACCATAGAAATAGTGGTAGAGAAAAAATTGGAAGATTATTTTTATTACCATAGGGCCTAGGAATCCTATTTATAGACCAGGACTCCATTGTGCTTGGCGCTGTACAAACACCTGCCTCCAGGAGCTTAGCCAAGAGACAGAGGATACAATACTGACAGATGGAGTACGAGGAAACAATGAGACGATATTGTTCAACATGGGAGGCAGTGGTTTAAGCACACCAGTGTACTAACTGTGGTCAGGTTGTCTGAGGCATCACAGAAAAAAAGGGTTTTGAAAGAGGATAATGAGGAAGTTTTGCAGATGTTTACGGGGAGCATCTCATGAGTATGAAAGGCAGCCTGGGAGAAAGGGTAATGGTGTTTGTTTGCAAATTTAACAGGTGGGCAGTGGAGGCTGGCATCGTGGGCTAATCAGAGACGGGAACTGACATCTCGACAGTGAATGAGAGATGATAGAAGTAGGTTGGAAGAGCGTCTTGAAAGGGAAGACAAGCAGCTTATGTTTGAAGCAGTAAAAAAGAAGGAGCCAGTGGAGGGATTCAAAGAGGGAGGTGACATGGTCAACGCAATGAGCTAGGAGAATTATCTTTGCAGCAGCATTCTGAATGGATATTAGTGGGGCAAGATTGCCTTTGTCAAGGCCAGAGGAAAGGATGTTGCAGTAATCAAGATGTGAGATTAAAAAGAGCCTGAACAAGAATTATAGCTATGTGGCTGGATCGGAAACGTCATGTTTTAGAGAAAAGAGATCTGCAAGATTTAGACATTGCATGGCTATGAGGACCTAGAGAGAGGTCTGAGTAGAGGATGATGCCCAGGTTATGGTTCTGGCTCACAGACAGGATGTCAGTGTTGTCCCCAGTGAGTGAAAAAGGAAGTAATGGAGAGGGAAGGTTCAAATATGTTAGAGGCATATTTAAGATTATTTCAGGACTTCAGCAGCAGTTCTAATTTATTTATAACCAGTTTTATGTCTCATATCACCATAATATTTGAGCACCTATAGGAGATAGTCCCCAGCTATAGGAGGAGACGTGTTGTGGGCAAGGAGAGCTCTATGCAGTCAGCTACATAGTCTTTGGATCAGAGTTGCATACACCTTTCCTGATGCCAAAAATCAGCCCAAGTTCACCAAAAGGTTTGCAATAATGTCAGTGCATCCTTGTGAATTGAGAGCTTGGGACTCTTCTATTGGAATAAACGTTTATTGTTGGATTGGATATTTTAATGGTAGGAAAGTGTCATAAATATATGCGCCAGTGGTAGTCTCTTTTACTGATACTGGGCTTTCCCTTTCCTCTTTTTCAAAGGCACATGAAGACCCCATGTATGATGTAATAAGGGAAAATAAACGCCATGAAAAGGAAATGAGGTAAGTGTATCTCTGTAGTAAATTTTTTTTTTTTTTTAATGTAAGCCTTTAATTTGTATTATTCTGTGAAAATTAGATATTATGGGCAAAATTTCCCTCACCGTTCAACTCATCACCTCCAAACAAAAGTTAATTTTTAATGGTAATCTTTATATTTTAATAAACAGCTAATGCAGAAGACGAGGTGTCATTTGTCCCTTCTTAATAAATATTTGCTATTTTACTTGTTGCTCATAAATTGAAGTGATTTATATTTAATGATTCCTAGAACTGCCTGTTCAAAAAGTAGACATGTTCATTTTTGTCAACATTTTCAAACCTGGAAGGCTCCTAAATCTATTTTTTTACGTCTTTAGTAAAAGTGATCTGATTTTCAAAGGTGCTGGGCACTCACAGCTCCAATTGACTCCAGTGAGATTTCTAAGCAGTTCTGAAAACCAGGTTGGTTTTATTTAGATACCTCTGTAAGGATTTAGGAAGCTAGCTTTAGATACCCATGTTTGAAAAATGTGGCCTTTATTCCTATTATTAAATCGTTATTCAGTAAATAGGGCAGAAGCGTTTAATTCTCTTCCTTGTTCCTTGCACTGGGAAGCATCACTGATGAGCAATGTCCAATCAACATTTGAGCTTAAGGGATAGGGTGCATTGTAGTTGTAGGTGACCAGTTGCATGTGTTTAAAAAAAAATACACACCAAGTTGAAATGGATGGTACCAAATAGAAGTAATCAAGCTAGTAAGGAAACTTTCCTTATCTGTTAAGAATCAATTCTAGCATAGAACTAAACAGGGGGGGGGGGACTTTTGCATCAGAAATTACCTGTTTTGCTAAAGGAGAACCTGCTTTTTATGTCAGTGATACCAGTGACTCCCCCCCTCTTCATCATTGTAACAAAACCTCATAATTTATTCATCCCGGATTCACCTGCATGTCAGTTAGTAGTAGTATAAAAATTGGTTTGGGGGCATACTGATGGCTGTTGATTCTGAGTACACTGTATACATATTAAAATAAAAACATCAAATAACTGCTTTTGCTGGGTAGTAGTAGAGGCCCTCCCCTTATAAATGACCCCACCTACAGGATGGAAAAACACTTGAGTTGGACAAATGCCTGGCTGAAAGGAGCACAGAAAGCACAGAAAGCCATAACTTGGACTCTGACTGGAGTGATTTGCATAGCCAGGGATCCTCCCCAAAGAGAACTCTGGTGACCAGTTCTCACAAGTCTATTACATCATTCACTTTTTTTGGGGTGGGCATACCGCTGCACACATGGAGAAAGGATTCTCATTCATATTAATTTTTGTGTATTTAGGATACAGCAATTGAAGCAACTGCTGGAAGACTCTTCTTCAGATGAAGATGGAAGTAGTGGCAGCTCCAGTTCCTCAGAATGTAAAGAGAAACACAAGAAGAAGAAAAAGAAGGAGAAAAAGAAAAAGGAAAAAAAGAAGAAAAAGAAAAGAAAGCACAAATCTTCTAAATCAAATGAGAGGTCAGAATCTGACTGACAGCAGTCACCTGCTAAGTGCTTCTTGACCCCAGATTGTGAACTGAAGGAAACATCCAAAGAATGAGAAAGAAACAACCAAAAAGGGCTTTGTAATAGTCTAGGAGAACATACAAACGGGTACGTCTAATGTCCCATTTGTGCCATCCTTTTCTGCCTCTCTGCAGTGGTGCCCCAAGCAAGGGATGAGCTCAATTATGGCTGTTTAACAAGGAATGATTTTACTTGAGCATACCTATGTACTGTGAAACATGGGCTAATGATCATCTAACTCGATGGTTGATAAAACCTCACTGTTATGCTGCCACCTGTTAAAACAGCCACCACCTAAGGGACTGCTTACAGATTTCAGCGGAGCCCTCTAGTGAGGTAATGTTTACCCCATAAAACAATTTAATTACACAGAGAGCCTCACTGTAATGGGAATGGCAGTTTGTACTGTGCAAAGCATTGAACCATGTTAGGACTTCCCATTTATAGCAAACAACAGTGAATGTTGCTACGTCCAAGCTAAGTGTAATCAGGCTGTACTGTATCTTCCCTGCATGCTGATGGTCACTCGGATCATCCCACGATTGGCAGCTGGCACCGCTTTAAATGTGTGACATAAGGAAAAACCTATTAATGTTAATGAAGAGGTTTTACTTTAAGGCAAAAATATATTGTTAGCAGGGTTTATTTTTATTTACTTGAAGAAAAGCTCAGTTCTGAAATTTCAACACTATTTCTGAGCCTCACTCTACAACATTGACCAGCACCTACTCGTTGAAGTAATCCTCTGAACTGCAAAATTGGGCTCTATGTGTGAAAATCTCTTGCTAAATAATAATAAAACTCCCCCACTAATTTTGCTGACAAAAGCTAGCATGTTAGTTGCTTGGAAAAGTGTTTTCTTGTTTGAAATGGAATGGGTAACAATGTTCTTCTGAGCATTGTTTACTATCTATATTGTATTGATACATGTTTGTTTCTAAAAAGGTTTGGGGAAGTAACTTTAAACGTGTTTTAATTTTACATATTTAGTAAAATATTTAATACAGTAATATTTTGTGAATCATTGTGAATATGGAAAATACAAAGAATATTCTTGTAGCAATACACCTCTACCCCGATATAACGCTGTCCTCAGGAGCCAACAAATCTTACCGCGTTATAGGTGAAACCGCGTTATAGCGAACTTGCTTTGATCCGCCGGAGTGCGCAGCCCCGCCCCCCCGGAGCACTGCTTTACCGCGTTATATCCAAATTCGTGTTATATCGGGTCGCATTATATTGGGGTAAAAGTGTATATAGAAGGAATCCCAAATGTTTTACAAGTGTATACAGTACACATAGTACTATAGAAATGTAGCAAAGAAAAAGCAGGTTAGAAACAAGGATACTTTGGTCAAGGACATGAGGACAAATGCCTACTTTTACAAAAAGGGTCCATGGGATCTCTAATAATCTCCCAGGGCAGACAGGACTGGAAAGATCTGTACAACAGTAAAATACCAGATATATCTGCCCCTGCAAGATGAATGGCTAAACTGATCTCACTGTGATGTGAACCTACGGTTGCAGGGAGTCTAGGTGTTTAAAAGTAACCTGCAAGGGAAAAAGGGGTTTGTCCTGTGGACTCTTTGAAACTGCTTTATGACAACGAAAGAAGCTCTGAAAATTTTTTTACATTGAAAATATCAGAAATGTCAAAGCTGGTTTTTCTTTGTTTTGTGAGATACCTCAGATATAGAATTGGAGTTTTCCTTCACTGGGAGGAAAAAGGTGTGTTTAAAATCTGAGCTTAAACAAGGCAGTTGTAGCTGGTCGAGGTAAACCCAAACATAGGCTCCCCATTAGGGCTTACACTGAACAGCTATCACAGGGTAAAGCTACAATTGCCTTGTTTGTGGCAAGCGTGAAATCCTGACTGTTGACTTTGGTGATGGTTGGATTTCACCCTAACATTTTAGTACAGGTTAAACCTGCACTACTACTACTTCTTGGCATGAAAGCTTTCTGATCCTATAATGGAAGGGGGGTGGGAATGGTGAACTTTTAACAAAATACCTTTTTTCCCCTGCTGCATAATTTTCAGGTATTGGAGTTAATAGTTTAAACAATCTGAATAAATATTGAGAGGGGAAGTACACTTAGTAGGTGAAGTCTGCATAAACCTGCTATTACCATTCTTCCAGAAAGATACTGTGGATGACTGGAAGTAGGGTCAAAAAGCCCTACTTAGAAGAGGCCTGTTCTTTTTTCCTTGCTAGATTTTTATATCGACAGAAGCAAAGGGAATAAAAAGGGGGACAAATCCATTTCTTCTCCTTTACAAGATATCCTCCAAATCTAAAGCACAGACCATGTAGTCACCGTCATCACAACTGTGCATAATCCTCTATTGAATCACAGCAATGTAACTTTTTAGATGATGTTATCTGTATTCTGTCTTAAGGCCCAAAAGTGAATGTTCCAAAAACAGCTACAGCAGGGGGGTTCTCAAACTGGGGGTCGGGACCCCTCAGGGGGTCATGAGGTTATTACATGGGGGGTCATGGGCTGTCACCCTCCACCCCAAACCCCGCTTTGCCTCCAGCATTTATAATGGTGTTAAATATATTAAGTGTTTTTAATGAATAAGGGGGAGGGTGTCGCACTCAGAGGCTTGCTGTGTGAAAGGGGTCACCAGTACAAAAGATTGAGAACCCCTGAGCTACAGGGTATCTTCTCTTATAGTATTTAGTAAACAAGTTGTTTATATGCAAAATTAACATTACTTATTAGTGACTATCAGAAGTTCAGGAATGCTCAATGGTAGGGTAACTGACAGCTGGCTACAACTGCAGTTTCTTTGGCGGTAGCCTTGGCAGTTGGAACTGCCTGAAATTTGGCTTGATTGATCTCCTTCTTTACAGCGCTGCAGTGGAGATATAAGTATTGTCATCAGAGCATCCGGTTGCTTGCTTGTTTGCAGCATGGTTGAAGGAAGGTGGGTAGGAAATAGGTTCTGAGAGATGTCTTGCAACAACTCCATAACTTCCTACCAGTGGCTACAGCAAAGCCAATCTTTAAAATGTAACAGAGGCTTCATGTGGGTTATTGCATCTTTCCTTACAGTTTTTGCTTGAAAGTCTATCCTGAAAGCCATATTAAGGTGTCTATAAAACTTCATCCCATTAATTGTTAATGGCCCCATCCCTTTCTGCTACCTCCTTGGGTGTTTATCTTTCATAGAGCTGATGGTGGTTGCCTTTCTTCTACTATAAGGGTTAAGCTTTGTTAAACTTTTTTTTAATATTTTTTCCTTAAAATACAGTCTTTAGAAAAATTTTAACCTCACTACACTCACTCTTTAAAAAAAAACAAAAACATGGCCATATAAACTCAGCAGAATAATTATTGTTCTGTATGCAAGTGAGAATATTCTCCCTGTACATCGCTGTGGAACACTTACTCGTGATGGAAAAGTGGCAGCTCACTGACCAAACAATTGTTACTAGGAATCAACAGGTGGTAGTTTCTAATGTAATTTTGCCCTATGGATGGGTTGTCAACCCACTACTATTTACGGTTTTAATCAGTGACCTTGAATATATCATCACTACTGATAAAAAGTTCATACAATACAGAAGTAAATAATGAGGATGACAAGTCACTGCTACAGAGTGATGTGACTCAGACATGTTTTAATACAGTCAAGAGAGAAAGCTTTACCTAGAGCAGTGGTTCTCAAACTGGGGTTTGTGAATCGTTACAGAGGGTTCTTGGGAAAAAAATTCCCTGATGGCAGACAGACCTGTCCCTAGGGACCCCGGCCAGCAGCCCGTGGACTTCTAAGAGCTAAGCAGATCAAAGCAAGCATATCTATCACCGTGAGGCGATTTAAACTTCAAGACTCCTTATAAGAAAGGGAAAGGGAGGTAGATATTTTTTGCTGTTTTTAAAATTAAATAGGCAGCTAGTATTGTTTTTAAAATTATTATGAAGAACAAGTTTAGGCTTTATTGTAACGGGTGTTGTTTGCCTGGACTGCTCAAGACCTGAATGCTTGTGTAGGAGCAACTTGGAGTTGGCTTCTTAAATACCTTCATGCTGTTTCACATCTGATACACCTTGATGAAACATAGGAGCCTTGTCTTATAAACAGGCTTATTCAGAGTGATACAAGCTATGAAAGTGAGATTGTGGAAGTGGTGCTGTTTTCGTAGTGTAATAAAAATACTGTAATAAATGTGTAATAATCATGTCAAAAAATTTATATTTCCAGGATCACTGCTTTTATAATTTATACTCAAAGGAGAAAATCCCTGGCAATATTCGTTTTTAGGAAGGGGTTCACAAGACTTGACATTTTAGTGAAAGGGGTTCACAGGTTGTTAAAGTTTGGGAACCACTGACCTATAGGAATAGAAAAAACAATGAGGAGTCCTTGTGGCACTTTGGAGACTAAAAGAAAATATATTTGGGCATAAGCTTTCATGGGCTATAACTCACTTCATCAGATGCATGGAGTGAAAAATACAGTAGGCAGGTATAAATATACAGCACATGAAAAGATGGGAGTTGCCTTACTAAATGGGGGGGGGGGGGGGGAAAAGAGAGAGAAGGTCAGTGCTAACGAGGCAAATTCAATCGGGGTGGATGTGGCCCATTCCCAACAGTTGGTAAGAAAGGGTGAATATTAACAGAGGGAAAATTACTTTTGGTTGTACACCTACAGGATCTCTATCAAGCATTCTTAAAACTACAGTACCCACCTGCTGAAGTGAAGAAACACATTGACAGAGCCAGAAGGGTACCCAGAAGTCACCTACTACAGGACAGGCCTAACAAAGAAAGTAACAGAACGCCACTAGCCATCACCTACATCCCCCCCCAACTAAAACCTCTCCAGCGCATCATCAAGGATCTACAACTTATCCTGGATGACAATCTCACTCTCACAGACCTTAGGAGATAGCCCCCCCCAACCTGAAGCAAATATTCACCAGCAACTACACACCCCACAACAGAAACACTAACCCAGGAACCAATCCTGCAACAAACCTTGTTGCC